TGTTATCAGGAAGGAATTGGTGTAGAAAAGAATAAAGATTTGGCTTTTGAATGGTATTTAAAATCTGCTATTGCTGGACACGACTGTTATATTCATAAGAACTATTTCCAATGGATAAAATACGATGATTTTAGAAATATTGAAGATGTAGGTAAAAGTAGGTTTTTCGTAGTGCATAAAACAGCATATGGAACATTTGAAGAAGTTGCAATCAATATCATTAAAGATTCGCATAAAAATAAATAAGATTTTTTAGATGAGGTATTTTATTTATTTTATTTTTTTTCACGCGTAAATTTATATTATTTATGATTAATTTGTTTAATTTTAGTTAAAACCGTATCACGAAATTGGTGATTACTATGGCATATTGATGAATAAAAATACGGAGGATTTTATTTTAGTGTTAAATTTGGTTGATTCTTGTAAAGATATAAGCAAGGCCTCACTTTAATACTAAAAAAAAAACTAGAATTTAAAATTTTTAAAAACTAAATAAATCAAAAACTATATTTCTAATATATTATAAAATCTAAAAACTAAAAAAAAATTAACATTTAAAAAATTTAAAATTTATAAAAAATTAAAATTATATTTCTAGAGCATTGTCTAGGTCTGAGAGCTAAACAACTAAAAATTAATTTTTAAAAATATTTAAAAATTAAATAAATTTAAAATATATCTAGAATATTGCTTTAGCCTAAAAGCTAGAAACTAAAAAACAATATTAAAAACTAAATAAAAATAAAACTATATTTCTGAATCAAAGTCTAGATCTAAGAAAGACACCAAAATACATATAGAGGGGTAAAGTTTTACAAAAATTACTAAATATAAAAAGATCTGCAAGAAAAAAGTCAAAATAAGCAAACTAATTACTATAAATAAAAACTCAAATCTATGTATATTTTGGAATTCTTCTAAGAGCTAGAAAACTAAAAAGCAAAATTAAAAAACTTAACTAAATAAATGTAAAATTGTATTTCTAGAAAATTACAAGATTTAAATATTAATAATTTAAAAAACAAACTAACAAAACTTAAAAACTAGAAAAATCAAGACTATATTTTGGGGCCTAAGAGCTAAAAAACAAAAAAGCCAATATTTATAAAAACATAAAAACTATAAAAAATTAAGACTATACTCCTAATGCATCGCCCAGACTAAGAGCTAGAAAACTAAAAAAACTAAAATTTAACAAAGCTTAAAAACTAAAAAAAATTGAGGCTTGTGTCCTGGGGCATCGCCAGGGCCTAAGAGCTAGTCCTACCTAATGTTTTGTAATGCACTCAATAGTTGCCTTAGACCTCTTAGACCTGCCAAATTAAATCTGCCTCATTTTTACTATTGAGGAATATTATATGATATTTATGAATTTTAAGTGCCAATTTGTCACATTTGCTTGTTAGTTGGTATGTATTATTTGATCAGTAACAACATAAACATACATAAACTGATTCATTAAAATCAATCTATTCTTTTTATCTAATAATTTTAGATTACACAACTATTCTACTTTATTCTATATAACCCATAAGTTAACTCTTACAATACTGCAATAAGTTAGTTTAGTGGAATTAGTTTATTTGTCATCGAGTTTTGGAAAAAATTATCACGTGCGATCGTGTAACGATCACGTGTCATCTTTCCCGTTATAGATGTCGTAATCCACGGCGAAAATTAGAAATTCTCTTTAAATAAAAATTAGATTAACTTTATAAAATAATTTTAAAAAAAAAAATTATTTAAAATTAATCTAATTTTCACTTCGTAAAAGTTTGAAAATTTTTTTAACAAATATATATATATATATAATTTAATGCTGAACAAGTTAATCTAAAAAAAAATTAGTAAAAAATACGGCTTTACCAAGATTACTTTCAACGCCATAGTTGCAATATCTCAAATACAGCGGAGACAGGATGTTACATAGAGTTGTTACACAAATGAAACGAATTTTTTTATATTATTTTACAATACTTTTTTGAAAGGCTCATGTGCCTTATCCTTTCTAAGAAATGTTAAAAAGATAGAAGCTCACAATTTGCTTTATAACATATTTCTTGAATCCCTATGAATTCCGAAATTTTGTAAATCAGTAATTTATGCTATTTTGATTGGTCTAAACAATGAGAATTTAACATGAAAACCACTGTTATATTCGGATTACCCTAAATTTTACTAGAAAAATTATTAAAATATATATGTGCTGAACACTACTGTTGTTATTGAAAATATATAAAAAACTAAAAATTTTTTATTTGCATATATTTAATTTTTCGCAGTCAAAGCCGACATGAAAACTATTAACTGTCAGTAAATTTACATTTAACGAAGAATTTTTCTATGACGGTCAACAAAGTATTATAAAGATAATCAATGGGCCAATATATCCATGGTTTTTATAATGACAAAGTTTTATTAACAAAATAATGAAACATTCATTAAATAATTACTATATAAATATATATATAGAGACATTTTTAATAAACATTTTTAATAAAAATAAAATCATAAACCCATATAAATAAATATAAAATAATAATATAAATATACTTGATGAAAAAGAAAATCTAGGGATTCACACTAGTTGTATATTCTAATATTTCGAATTGTAAAGTTGATGAATGAATTTAATTAGCAAGGATCACTCGTAAAAGAATCCAAGGGTAAAGGATCAAACTGTAAAGTTTGTAATGGCGGACAAATCATATTGGTCTCAAAAAGAGATATAGAATCATTCATAAAGTCATATTCACAAGTTCTTAAATGTAAAGAATCAACATGGGAAATTAAAGATATAGAATCGCTTGTGATATTATGTTCACAAGTTTCTGGTGGTAAAAAATTAGGAAATTGGTATTGTTCATGAGATAATTCATAAGTCTCTTGAACATTGTTTATTGAAATTATTTGACTTGAAGTAGTAAAAGATAATGAATAATCAACATCTGGTACTGAATAATAATTATTATTAATGTATGCAGAAATTTCTTGATTCGAAGCAAAACTAATAGGAGAAGAAGATATTGAATAATTATTATTTGCTGAAATGGCATGGTTTTGCTCGTTTACCGGTGTCTATGAATTAGAGGACAGTAAGTATATAGAAGAAGTTATTAAATAACAGATGAAGTGAGAGAGAAGAACACACATTTGGAAATCCAGAGTGAGTTGATAATTCATTAAAGGCTGAAACAGCATGCGTAATGGTAGTTGAGGGATCATCCGATGAGATGGTAGTAGAGGTTTGTGGAGTAGTAAGTGTAGACGACGTAGACAGTTCATGATTGAAATAACTAAATTCACCACAATCAGTAGAAACTCTTGATCTTGGTTTACGTCCACGTCTTTCATTAGGCTTTATAAAGACACATTCCAGTTTTCTTTTCTTACAATTTGCACAAGGGCGTGTACCGGAACATTTTTTTCGCCTCTTTTTGCAATTTGTACACGCATTGGTAACGTGAGCTCTTTGCCGAAGTCTATTGCACATTATGTCCATGTCTCAAAGTGGTTGATTATAATACTGAGAAGATTAAGTTATAAAATAAGTATATGCGAAATAGTAATTGGCCATGTCTGCTGATTCTGTTCAAACCATGAAGTTCGAAATACATACCGAATAATCTAAAGCATACAATCTAGTTTTATTGCATCTAAGTTTATACAATAATTAATATCAAATGAAGGAAGTCTGCTGATATAAATAAGTTTATACGAAGTTTTAGGTGATAAAGAATTTAATTAAAATAGCTTTATAAATCAACAATTCAAAAACTCTTGTCATCAAAAACTAGAGGAAAAATCAATGTACTTATATTCAAAATTAAGGTGTCACTAGCTATTTTTAGCGAAGTATGACGAAACCATAATTAACAAAACAAACAAATTTTATGCTACCAAATTACAAAAAAAGCTTAAATACTAAATTACTAATTATTTGTTGTTACATGGATTATCTACAGTTTCATTATATCGAGACAAACTTTTTTACACCAAATTATGATAAATTATTTGTTTACTGATGAAATGAATCTGGGCCTTAAATATATCTGAACAAAATTGTAATTGAAAAATACAGAAAATGAGAAAATATTATTTTATCAATCTCCGTATACCTTTTACATCTGCATTATCGTTCTAGTTTTGATATTGTTCGGCTAATCCGTCGCTAATTACGGGTTAAGTTTAAATTGACAATCATGGTGATACTAGTATGACGTTAACTTACAGCTTTGTAAACTTTATATTTGTTTTGGTAATACGAACTCCTGAAAAAAAAGTCTGGATTTTTTTTTAAACACGTGCGAAAGAAAAAACAATATCATATCGGCCGATTGGACTGACGTATGAAACACCCAACAAAGAGCTTTTTGGTACATGTGACACAAAGTAAATAAATAGAAAAACTATGCTAAGCTAAAAAAAGAAAGTACTATCACCGTTTTTTAAAATGTTCAGATATTTCTGGATATTTTCAGATAGTGGACGATCGGTTTTGCCCTTAAATGATCGGTCGAATAATGCATAAAGTAAATATGGAAATAAATTTTTAAGAAATTAACTTTTTAATCCATAATTAAACATGTCATTTTTAACAAAAAAATTTTTTGACAATTCCCAAACATGATCAAAATCAGAGCAAATATATACGTACGAGAACATTACTATTTAAATTGAACTTGGGCACTAATTAAAAATTACATATAACAAGCGATAATTTATTTTTACGGTCTCTAATTATTCCTTTTAGGTTTGTATTACACTCAAACAAACGTCATAAAGCAACACCTGCATGCCACATAAACGCCAAACAAATACGCCACAAAATTTGTGCCACATTTTGTGCCACCACAATTCGCCACAATTTATTCCATAAAAATAGTCACAGTACCGAAAATTTTACGCCACGGCAATAAAAATAGAAAACTTGTACACAATACTAAATCTTCCATGTCACAAGAATATTAAACAAGCGCAATTACGCCACAAGCAACAAACATTTACACGCCACAATACGAAAAAAAGCAATATCCGAATTATCAGTCGGATAAGAAAATTCTTAGTCAATTTATGTGACTAGGCAACCTTAAGTGGATAAATGATAGTTGAAATCTTGTGTTACGAGAATGAGGATATCAATTTTTAGAAAAATAATAGATATTTTTATTATTATTTGCAGAGCAACACAAGTCGAAAACATGAATATCGGGTACCTGATATTCATATTTTCGACCTGTGCAAGTTGTTAATTCTTTGCAGCTCGACTTAATCATTTAGGACTTTAAATTACAAAAATTGACAAAGTGTGAAAACCTGGCAAACAATAAAACTCCTAACAGAAGTTGATAAAGGCGAGAGTGGCTCTCGAAGGTAGAAACTATGTTAAACTATCTTTTGTGTAGGAATGACTCCTAAAATGTGCAACTTATATAACAGAAGCAATTATCACGCCACATATATCTCGTGAATCATTATTTATAAATAAGCTTAATTTAGTAATACAATTTTTTGATAAAGAAATCCGTTCATATATTGTAAGTGCAGATGTGGGAACGAAACTTAAGTGGATTTGAAATTTTAGGGTTAATGTAAATAATTCTACCTTAAAATTATAATTTTATTCAGAAAATTTAAAAACTTCAATTCCTTTCCCACATGCAACAGGATATTCAAACCAGAGACTAAGCTAGAGTATTATATTAGAAGTCAGTACTCCAAGCTGGCTTGGGCCAATGATGCCTGACGAATGTGAAACCAATTCGTCAGGCAACTTCGAGTTGACGAAATGACGAACGACGAAACTCATAACAAATTATAAATTTTTTATAATCTAATAAACGTAAGAAATAATTAAAAAATGCGATTTTTTCAAAAAATTCAAAATTTTTATGGCACAATTCAAATACCGTTAAATATTAATAATGTTTACGAATGGCGAATGACAGAACTTTTGTCACTGGAGATTGACGAAAATCTTGAATCTTGACGAGATTAATTTGGCTAAAAATACAATTGACCATCTTTCGATGAGCTTCTTTATAACGACCTCCTGGATATCTTGCGTCTTAAAATTTCCAAAATTACTGTTATTTCATCAAGATACATAGTAATTTTTTTCGAGCTTTATTAAATCGTCAGTTCTCTAAAAAAAAAGTTCTACACAAAAATTAATAATCTCATACAAAAATTAATTTTTTAGCTTTACATTACATTGAACCTGAAACTGGTAATATTTTTATTATTGGTAGTTTCTTTCATCAGATCTATCGATACATCCGGGTGATTAATGCAATCATCAGGTAATGTCGGATCAATATGTCAAAAAAAAAAGGGTAGATATAATAATGAAAAAATTTTATATCTTCTCATGAACTAACCTATTTCCATTAAGAAAAGAATGAATAATAGTCTTGTGGTTCATTAATTGTCATGAGTTTTGTTACTCATCATAGTTTTTGATTTCGTCAATTTGTCACTCAGACAAAGTTTCATCAGACAAATCCATTGACGAAACCATTTAGTCATTGCAAAATAGTTTCATAAAGCATCATTAGCTTGCGTTGAAACTAGGGGTTGTCTTATGCGAAATGACAAAACTATGATACCCGCGATCTTGCGCACTTTCTCGAGATGACATCATTCCTCGCGAGAGATAAACTTATTCGAAAATTTTAATGAATTTTTAACATATATTCTAAAATGATTTCTTATCATGCAAGACTTGAAAGATATTCTACAGTAGTTTATCTCGCGAAAAATACATCTCTGGTTGAAACAGATTTCAAACCGGTTTCGATTAACTCACCGACAATCACTTCGCAGACAACTTAGTTCACAGACAATTAATACAAGTAATTCTAGTCATTATCGGTAGGGAGCTGACATATAAGAATTTAATATAGCCCCCAGGGGAGTTTTTGGCTGAAATTTTTGGTTTAATAAATGCTACACCGTGTTTGAATCGAGGTGAAATCCTATTGAGAACACTCATATAGTGTCTCTGGTTGTTATTTAACCTTCCTTCCAATACTTTAAATAGTTATAGCTTGACCCCAAGATCAGGTTGTGCTAATTGTAATAACAAAGTTCATCATATACAAAACTCATTACTTTCATGTAACTAAAGATTAGAATAAGTATAATCCCAGGTTCCTAGTGGCAGTAAGATATCCGGTTCTCGGAACATCCGTTCTCGGACCAAGTTTCCCTCTTCTTTCCATGTACATACGTACGTACGTACCAATACCACTACTGATAAGATAATCTTGTAATACAATTTTATATGTTTAACTACATATGCACATAAATCTAAAATGCATAAATGTACAGTTGTGTAAGTGATACAAAATCAAAAAAGAAATGAATAACGATGTTTATAACCAGAGAAACATTTATATGTATAAAGTTTTATTTCCATTATTTTTAATTAGTACATAAAGATAACCTGACATAAATAAAATTTAACGTTTTTCAATTTGGATCGCACAAATAAATTTAATGATTTCGATCGTATCTTACACAAATAAATGCATCAAATATTTGTGAACTTTAACATTAAAGGATTTATATCAATTCATTCAAGATAGTAAATTACTAAAAAACGGCTTGCTCTAATTAAAAGTTGATCATGTGGTTTCTTTTTTACAATAGAAATTCTATGTATTGCTATTTCTACTGTTTGGATGGAATTTATTCGTAGTTTGTCCACTTTAGTTTTAATTGTAATCTTAAAAAGGTACTTCATAATATTAGATTCTGATGAATGAAATTCTTATTTATCGTATAGAAGAATGATTGGTCTTTAAAAAATCTAGTTTACAAATTTTAATTTCTGCAAAGGTCTAATATTTAAGAATAGTGAAGTTGATAATCGGGGTCCACTTAGACAAATCTATAAAATAGCATACCGAAAATATGTACAAGATTGGCAGCGCAGATAAAATTCTTAAAATTGGGTCGGCGTTAGGATCTAGAGAGGGGTAGTTTATATAGTAAAATTGTCCAACGAAAACTTTTTGTTAGAGCACAAAAGGTGGTTTCTTATGCTGATTTTGAGCTACGAGCGATTTTTGCCGATCGAGCGTTTGCTTTGAATCTTCCTGATCGTGTTATGTTACACCTAATCTTGAAATCTGATTCGTGGTGCAGGAGAGCTGCGCCGCCAACCTTGTACACATTTTCGGTATGCTATAAAATATCCCTGAATAAATTTACGTCACCACAGGAAATTTCCCTCACACGACGATCATCCGATCTAGCATTAATAATTAACCAATTTTCTAAACTTTGAATGATGTTTTCTCGACAACCACCTATACACTTCGATAAAAATGTTTATATTTTAATTATACGAATATGTAGAATTAAAATAAAAAATTTCATTGGATCTGAGAAGGTGGTTGTT